CTGAGAAGATTCTCCTTTCACTTCCTTTCCAGAAACAGTCCAGTAGAGAGCAATCTGTGCTTTTCTTCTCACTGAAATCATACCTGCCTTTGTAGGCAGAGGATCTGTAACAGTAGGCTTCTACTGGGAGCCTTAGGTTGATGCATGTGTGGTATCAAGTACCCTGTCTATTGCCCCTTCATGCCCTCCTGTGAGGCTTAGAGACTTACCACTCAGTACCAGCATCAGTCTACTCCACTGATAGCACTGTCTCCTCACCCCCAGTCCTTGTACTCTGAGTGTTACTTCTCAATAACTGCTTACTTTCATAAAATTTGTTATGTATAAGGATTTTTCAACTCTAAAGTATAAGAAATTACATCATTCCAAAGGGTAAATTTGCTGGGATTTGTTGGGATTTAACTAGAGTTAGAACTGATTGGCTATATCTGCATTAGTCTTTGGAACTTTATTATTTTTCTAGGTAAAATAAGTATTCTTTATGAGGAGGAATCTTTTCCTCACTCCCACTTCCACTCAGGGAAAGACTAAAGGAAGCCTTTAAGTCAGTACTGCAATCCACAACTGAAGGTGTGAAAAACAAATCTCATACATCTTGGTTCTAGAAGGGAATCAGGAAGAATCTAGCAGGGTAATTTAGAGCCAACAATTATATTTAAAGAGTTTATCCTAAGGGAACTTTCAAAGTTGATGTTCAGGATATTCATTTCAAAGTTACTTGTAGAAATAAAGAATTAAAACAATTGGCATCCAAAAATAGGGAAATGGCTAAACAAATTATAGACACTTAAGATGATGCATCCACTGAACATCCTATTTAAAACTATTCTATAATATTTAACAACAATATCAGCCTCAATTAAAAAAGAAAGTAAAAAACTGAGCTATTAAAATTGCTTTAGCTGGAGGCACGAATCAAGTGGTGGAATGCTTGTCTAGTAAGTGTGACTAGAACACCTCAATACCACAAAAAAACCTTACAAAAACAAAATAAACAGGAAATGAGACTGCTTTTATTATGATCAGAAATTTACTATTGAAAGTGTGAATGGCTATACATGGTACATAAATGTAAGGATAAACCAGTACTTCAGAACTTAAACTGGTAAATTATCACCAGTGGGATTTTAAAGTGATACTTACATTTTCCTTATAATTGTATTTATTGTTCATATGCTTCTCTAGGGACATGTGTTATTTGTTCATTTATTCATGTATTCAGAAACACAGGTGATGGTTAAGCGTCAAGTCCTGATTAGTGTTGAAGATATTAAATAAATAAGACAAGACAGCTACGTTTCTTGCTCTGCTAAGAGTTTCTAATCCTTCAAAAATAGGTTTGAGGTTTGTTTTGATTATTGCATCTGATCTAATATTCTCACTTCTAGGAATTCCTCTTAAGGAAATAGTTTTTAAAAAAGCAGAACACAATGATCATATGGAAATGATCACATAGAAATTAACTAGAACTTAAATCTAGCAAAAAGTCTAGAAATCACTTAAATACCCAGCAGTAGGTGACTGGTTAAATAACTACTAGCACATTCATGTAATAGAATAATATGGCACTATTCAGATAATGTTTCCAAAAATGTTTAAATATCACAGAAAAAGCTATTAATTTGGCTTTCTGCTCATATTCTGGAAGAAAATAAGCTATAAAATTGTATAGAATCTGACCTCAGTTATGTAGTCTCATTCATAAAAGAGAAATTCCAGTGTTCACAGGTGCTGGTTTTAGATGGTATGGTAATAGTTTTTGGACACTTGCATCTATGTTCTTCATATTTTCCAAGTCTTCTGCAATAAATAATGTTTAATTCTATAATCAGAAAAACCACATTGATGTTTTTAAGGATTTGATTCAAATATGTCATCAAAATTGAAAGACTGTACCAAAAAACACTATTTCTTGTGACTATTTTCAGGTTGGGGAAAGGAGAGAGAATTCTTATGGAGAGAGCTCAAATCCCTTTCTTTCTACAACATTCTTGGGAGAGAATGGATAACCCTGCATGCAGGAACTCACCATGGTTCTAAGGGGATGCAATCAATCATTATGTGCTCCTGAAGCTGAACAAGGAGGAAAAGAAAGTGCACTTATAACTAGTATATGTCTGGGACAAGCAGAACAGGTCAAAAGCTATGTACCAGATAAGAAGATGTTAAGCGAACTGAACCCAAGATAGAGACAAAAGTGGTTCTTTCTTTCCTGCTATTGTTTCTACTAACATATTTATAATGTACCATGTGATTTTTTTTGTTTCTTTGTATGTTCCTCCCCCACGGTATAACCCCTGTTTTCACTGTATTTGATGTTGGTGCCCTGCATCTTGTATATACACTTCTCTAGCTTGAGGAGGTGAAGGGAAAAAACAAAATGCTTAAATAAGGATACAGGTTGACCCATTGTAACAATGAAACTATGTACAAGATACTATGTTGAAAAAATGAACTTTACAATTTAGGCGGGGAGGAGAGGAGGGGGAAGGGGGAGTGTAGTTGTGGAGATGGGAGGAAAGGGATGGTAGGGGAAAAACAAAGGAGGATGTAACAATGCTTGATAGGAAAATATACTCATTATCTTGCTCAGGTAACTGTAACCCCTATGTACAGTATTTTTACAATAAAAAAGTATTTTTAAAAAAAAAAAAGTGCAATTGAGGGAGGTGGTGACAGATCAGAAGCAATCCTACCTCTTACTTGACTCTACCCCAAAGCATGCCATTGATAACCTCCCTGGGCCATATGTGCATATTAGAAACACGGGATATGTCTTGTTGCTGTCATTTTCTGTAGCTTTGACATCTAAGATACTCTGATTCCATCCTACAGATGTCACAGAAGGTCAGGATCCAGTCTTGTTTACCTAGGAGAAAAACAAAAGTGGAGCCATGCAAAATCTGGCTCCCTAACCATGATCCACCACGAGGATCCTGACCCTGATTCCCATCCTTAATCTTCTAAATTACCAAGGAAAGAGCTGGGCTGTTTAACCTGTTCTTATGTGAGCCAGAGGGAGAGAGCTGTCTGTTGCTGCTGTCAGCTGCCCACTGCTCCAGTGCGTACTGATTAACAGGTCTCCTTAGAGCTCATGCAATGCAGTAAAATGCATCAATTTACCCTCTAATTTAGCGATCATCAAGGAAGTGCATGTAGAGCTGAAGTGGTATCACCTTTCCCCACACAAATCTTTGGTTACTATATTATAGGGTATCTTGGGGGTGGGGAGATTGTGTGTGTGGGGAGTGTGTTGGGACTAGGTACTTGAACTTGGTACTAGGGCATAAACTCTGAGATTCAAATATTCTTGCTTGCCTTCTTTGGTTTGGGCTGGTGCTCTACCACTTGAGCCATACTTCCACTTCTAGCTTTTTGCTTGGTAGCTGGAGATAAGCATCTCATAGATTTGTCTGCCTGGAGAAGCTTTGAACCATGATCCTGCGATCTCAGCTTTCTCAGTAGCTAGGGTTACAGGAATGAGCCACTGGTGCCCAGCTAAGTTTTGCTTGGTTTTGCTTTATTTAAAAAAGCTGCTATGGGGTTAAGGAATGAGTCAACACAGAAAGGCTAACAGGTGTGCCTCATAATCAGTGAATTGAATATCTGAAAACCCAGTATAGCATGTAAGATAAACTTACAAAGTGCTTCATTTCATAGCTGCTTTAAGTAACTGCTTTACCTTCTAGGTTTAAAATATAAATGGATTCACACAACTTGTTTTGCACACACTGTATTAAGCACATATTGCATAAAGGCAAGCATACATGAAATTCACAAGTTGGGACTGGACACCACTGAAAAGAATGGAAATACAGATTTTCCTAGTTTTAAATGTGCTTGTCTTCAGAAGCACTATAGGCCTTCAAATCAACAGCATAAACAATCTTCACTGTAAAGGGATTAGTAGTTTAGATCTGAAAAAAAGTTTTCTCCTAGTCTCCCTTGGGTTTCCTGTATTCATTTTTCTCAGCAATCACATCAACAGAATTTTAAAAATCACACTGACAGATGCTTCCAACACACCCCCATATCCCAAATAAACATTTAACACTTTTGCCCATATGGATTGAGCATCAGAGGCCCAGGACACTCACAAAAACCCCTCAATACTAATAAGGTTACATTCTACTGACGATTTTCCTTCATTCCACCTGATGAACCATTCCTTCCAGAACACCAGCCTGTGTGTAAAAAGGCCAACCTTTTAATTTTCAATCAGCTTGTGATGCCTGAACCTGTTGGTTGGAAAAGAAGAGTTTGCAATTGTTTTTGCCAAGCACATTTCTCTGTCTCAACACATTGACCTTCCATAGCAAGAGAAATCTAAAGAAGTCCCTTGGGTAAGCTTCCTGGATCCCTGACTGTGATGTTTCTTAAGACCACCATTTCATTCTTGAATGCAAAATCCTAGCAACACAGAGAAAGCTGAATGAGAGCCTGGGATATTTTATGACTCTCGGGAAATACTCTTGTCAAACAAATAGAACTATAGAGTCGAAACAAGAACTTAAAAAGTTCCTAAATTTTCAGGGGAAAAGAAGTGGGGGGGGGGGAGAAATTTTGTCTTGGTGTACTTAAAACACAAAGCAACAAGAACCTGCATAGCCAAAGAGCAGGCCTGGAGGAATTTAGAAAGCCCCACTTCGAGGGTGGCCCCCTTGAGCAAGGCCTGAGCCATGGCCTTTCAGGCTTTGAGAGAGGTTAATGGAAAAGAGCAAAAACTGGAGTTGAAAGTGTTGGGGGAGATGAGGGCAATTACATGAAGAACATGAGAGTGTGTATGGAAAGGAAGTAAGATCGGTGATGAGTAGCAAAAGGGGAGACACAAATGGCTTAGATATAGCACGGTGATTGGATGACTGGGTAAGAGGTGGTCAAAGCCCCAGGGCATGCATAGGTAGGCCACTCTAATCCTTGGCTCACACAGAATGCAGCCCAGGAGCTACCTAGCAAGGCCTCCTTGGCCACCTTCTCATTCCCACTAGGGGCAAGCTCACCTATCGAAGGCCACGGCCGTCATGGAGTAGATACTGGCGAAGACAGCAGCGATGGGGAAGAAGTTGTGGAACTTGCAGTAGAACAGGCCGTAGTACCACTCATTGTGGACGGCATAGGTGAAGTTCACCACGGTGTTGAATGCAGCCATGGAGGCTTCGGCGAAGGCCAGGTTCACCAGGAAGTAGTTGGTCACTGTTCTCATTCTTTTGTGGGCTAAGATGATCCACATTACCACCACGTTGCCCACCACGGAGGTCACCACGATGACCGTGTAGGCAGCTGCCCAAAGGACAATTTGCCAGGCCGGCTGCACGAACTGATTGGGTTCTGAGGTGTTGGTGGAGATGTTGGGGAAGAGGTCTGAGTCCACAGGGAGGACGTTATCCATGTTTTAGGTAGGAGGCAGAGCCCCTCCACCTCTTTCTAGAGCCTCCCCCCTTTGGCAGCCGTGTCCAGAGGCTCGAGGTCTTACCTAAGCGAGACAGAAGGTAGGAAGTTTAGTATGTAGAAGTCTGTTTTTGCAGGCAGGAAGAGTCTGGGAGCTCAGAAGATGAATGATTCTAGATGCGCTGTGTGTCTGACTGCTCCTCGTGGCTCCGAATTCCTCCACTTTCAGGCTTCCGGGGGCGGGGGCGTTTTGAGTGCAGGATCTGGAACACGAGGGTCTCTTCTGCATTAGGCTGAAAGTGGGAGAAGCATTTCCTACCCGGATCGGTTCTACCAAGCAAGAGAACCCCGCCTTCCTGCACCTGCTGCTGTGTGCTTGGAACTCCTCTTCCCCCTTTCCTGCGGCGGGAAAGGCAAAGCTCGGTGCCTGGGCGAGAGGGAGGACTTGGGAGACAGAAGAGAGATTCCCGCCGCGGGGCTACCTGTAAAAGTTCTGATTCTATAGCCAGGATTCTGGGGATCTCGTGTCCAGCTGGGGTTTATGTATGTATTTAATTTTCCTTTCTCCTCCTCTCGGGTTCGCAGCAGCCACCACCCCCGCCGCCGGCGCCGGCTGCCTGCCGCCTGCAGCCTCGCGGGTGCTTCTTGGTTTGGGTCCGGCTTCAGGCTCGCGTGTTTGCAGAAGCCCGGCGGGCTGCGCGCCCCGGCTTTTATAACCCGCTGCAGACGCGTCACCAAGAAGAGGCCGTACCTGGCTGCGTGTCCTCGCCAGTCCCCGTGCGCAGCGCGGCGCGGCGCTGCAGCTGCGCCAGCGGTTGGCATGTCTCACTCCCCAGCCGCAGCCACCACGCCTTGTGCGGCTGGTTACCTGCTGTGGGCGTGCGGGTAGCAGACGCTACCCGGACATTCCCACCAGAGGGCGGTGCGTGGCCTGGGGAGTAACGGGGCCGCACCGGGGCCCCAGCTGGAGCCAGGGTTGCACCAAGGATGCATGGAGTGGGGATGGGGATGGGATGGGAGGGAGATAAGGAAGGGTTTGAGGAGGATTTGAGGGATGGTCAGCTTCCAGGGAGCACAGCCCGGAGCCCTGCCACAGCTCTGCAGCAGTGTCTGTGACGGTGGTGGTGGAAATCAGGCAAACGTGGTGGCCAGGTGCCAGCGCAGCGCTCTGGCCTCGCTCCAGCTTTAGTGGCTGGGGTGCTACATTGGCCAACTTTCCTGAGGTGGTGTTCTGGACTCTTCTTCGTCCCTCCCACTAGCTTCTCCCTACCCCTCCGCGTCTCTCCACCTCCATGGTGCACTGCTTCCCTTGGGTAAACCTTTAGGACATCGTCCCCAGCCACCCTGGTGGAGCTGTCCTCTCGCTCTAGGAGACTCTCATCTGAGTCCTCTGATCAGACTCCCCGCAGGGACCGGGGACAGGACGAGGCTGTATTCCCCGCCAAGCTTAGTGACTGCAAGAGCAATCCATAAGCCGGCGCGCTGTCCAGAGGCTTGACTCTAGCTCTTGGCCAACACCCACTGCTGACCGGACTCTCTCCTTTAGCTACCCGGGGACCCGGCACAACCTCCATCTCCTCGCCTGTCCGGAGCCAGACTGGGCCGGGACGGCATGGGGACTCTTCCGGGTAACCCCCTCCACGTTGGCACAGAGACTGCCCAGTCTGTCTGCCTTTTCTCCCTGCAGGCATCCAGCCCCAGACGGACTTCGAGCCTTCAATAATCTAGGGCAATCTGAAGTGTCCGAGCAGTGACAGGGCGCTCTGGGGAGGAGGGGTAAGAACGCAGTACCAACCATGTTGGAGAAGCTGCGGTGGGGCTGAGCTCTGGAGTGTGTTTCGGGTGGATTGATTGCTACCAGCTAGGGAACAATTGAAGTCTTCCGGGAGGGAATCCGCTCCTTCTGCCCCAACCCCTCCGTTCACTACGGGGACACTGCAAGACTCCAGCCGGGATGGGTAGCATCCGCCCATGCACTGGTCTGGGTTGGCTTCTGTGGTCCTCCCTGGAGAGTGGCGTTTATGCACTAGTCTGGCAAGCGCGCACTGCATCTCACAAGAAGCGCTTCAAGGCTGGGAAGTGCATTGTACTGACTTATGACAAGGGAAATTCGGCTCCCCTCGCTGGAGCAGGGAAGCTGCTAGCTCACTCTGGTTTTGTGGGAGACTGAGATTTCAGCGTTTATAGGAAGCGCATCTTGCCTTACCATGCCTCCTGGGCATCACTAACATCCCTAAACCCTGCAGAGAGAACTCCAGCACAGCGCCTCCGGATTAGATCTGCAGCTGAGTCGGAGAAGGGCGCCTTCTCCAGGGTGGATCTCTGATTTCTCACAGCTGCTGCACCAACTCCTAGAGAGGCAGAGACCCCAAGAAGGGCGAGGGGAGAGGAGGGAGCCGTAGAGAAGCAAATATGACAGCCTAGAGGACAGAGGTAACTGATTTTGCACAGAATGGACAATATCGTAAGGAGAAAAGCACTAGCCGGAGAGACAGAAGAGGAAGCCCTCACCTAGCTAATGAGGGGAGTTAGGGTGGAAGGTAGAAAAAGTCATCCACAGAGAAGTTTGGAGGACAAATTAGGATGAGAAGAGACTGGGTGAAAGGGAGAATATTCCTAGCAAATCATGTCATCCGGCTTTAAGCTCCCAGACAAACACTGTCCAGCTCACTTCCAGTGACACAATGGCGCTCACCCTGCTGCCCTCAAGTCTCCTTTGTTCTCCACTCTGATGGGGGTGGGGGCGCCTTGGCTGGCCCATCTTTCTGCTCCCAGTTCTAATGGCGCACGTCCATTTTACCAGGGATACTGAGGACTCCATGAAGTTAATTTCTGTTCCCCACGAAACCAAGCATAAGTGTGGGTGCTACTCAAGAGGCTGAGATCTGAGGACCACGGTTCAAAACTAGCCCAGGTAGGAGAGTTTGTGAACCTTTTTTTTTTTTTTTTGGTGGTCCTGGAGCTTGAACTCCGGGCCTGGGCACTGTTCTTGAGCCTCTTTGTGCTCAAGGCCAGCGCTCTCCCACTTGAGCCACAGTGCACTTCTGGCTTTTTCTGTGTATGTGGCACTGAGGAATCGAACCCAGGGCTTCATGCATGCTAGGCCAGCACTCTACCACTGAGCCACATTCTCAGCCTAGTTGGTGAGACTTTGAACTGCAATTAACCAGCAAACAGGCAGAAGTGTGCTGCAGCTCAAGTGGTAGAGTGTCACCTTTCAGCAAAACAAAACAAAACAAATTCCAGTGAGAACTCAAAGCCCTAAATTCAAGCCCCAGTATCAGAGCAACAAGGATGAAAATAAACATGATGAGTACATAATTAAAGAATAATCTTCAGCGGGTGGCTCACATCTGTAATCCTAGCTACTTAGGAGGCTGAGATCTGAAGATCATGGTTCAAACCAGCCTGGACAAGGAAAGTCTGTGAAAACCACCAGAAAACCAGAAGTGGCGCGGTGGTTCAAGTGGTAAAATGCTAGCCTTGAGCTGAAGAGCTCAGAGACAGCACTCAGGTCCAGAGTTCAAGCCCCATGACTGACCCCTTCCTCCACCTCCCCCCCCCAAAAAAAAAGAATAATCTGGAGTGGAGGCAGGATGACTGAGAACTTGAAACCAGCCTGAACTATACTCAGTGAGACCCTACAGTAAAATAAACAAACAAATAAATAAAGGTTGGGAGGGTTGGCTCAAGTAGTAGGGCGAAGTCATCAGTTCAAAGACCCCCAAACCTTAGCCATATAGTTCAGAAAATGTCTTCTGTTCACACCCTCGTTAGGTAGGGACCTTCTCTGAAAGTGATAGCTTTCCCCTGTGCCAATTACATTGTACAACCATGTAGAGGTGATTTTTTTCAACTTTATCTCTTTGTTCCCAGTTCTACTCTGGACACAGCACATTCACCTGTCTCAACGTAAATCCTGTTGACAAAGTATTATAAATCCTTGCTTATTTGTCCAGGCTCACTCAAGCTAGACAGAAATGTGAACACATGCAAGGGACCCATACTTGTGAATGCAGAGAGGACTTTTGGTGGTGTTTGTATTTTGTGTTTCTCACTCAGAAGTTTGTCCAAATACTGTTGAATCAAAAGATAAAGATTTAACTCACTCTTCTCAATGGCTAAATATTATTATGCCACAGATGAACTGCAACTTAAACATTTGTTTTTCCACTCTTGAAAAGACAGTTTGTTTTTAGTTTTTGCCAGAAGAGACAATGCTACAATAAAAATTCTTGAACTACATTCCTAAATCCTAATTGTGTCTGCATTTCTCTCTCTCTCTCCCCATCTTTCCCTTCATTTATTTAGTTTTGCAGTGCAAGGAATTGAACACAGAGCTTGATACATGTGAGTAAATTATTCTATCACTGAGCTATACTTCTAGCTCCTAATGTTGCCCTTTATGAGAAACATTCCAAGTAAAATTGCTGAGTAATTTGTAGTACCCATAGTTACATTTGAAATCTCAACATTAGTATTTTTATTAATATATTTATAATCATATGTAGATATGTCATGTATTTCTATTTCTATTTTAATTCTGCCTTCCAGAGGATGTTTGATTTCATTAACAACTAGATGATCCTTTCCCCCCCACATCTACTCCAGTTGTAGGTATTAAAATGCTTGTCACAAGGCTATGAAATATTGTAACAATGCTATCATAGAATATAACTTTACCCAGCTACCAGAGAATTTGCATTTTCCCTTCTATAAATTCTCTATTCCTTACCCTTTATTTTTCCACCAGTTGGCTTTTAGTCATTTTTCTAAATGTTCTCTACATTATTAGCAGAAATATGGTGCCTGTCCATGACATTTCAAATATTTTTCCCCAATGTGATTATTTCTCTCCTGAATTTATGAATGTGTCAAAAACTTGAACAATTTTTATGTAATTACACTTGCTTTAGTAACATTTGGATTTTCCCAGTCTTGAATTTAGAAACTTTTCTTAAATTCTAGCTATTTTCAGTCTCCTAGATTTTTCTTGACAGTTTT